CTCCTTCCTGCCTCTGGAAATTTACCAGATGTATGCCGCAGGGGAGCTGTCTGCGTGTCCTTCCAGTGTGTGTGGACTAAAGTGAGCAGCTGCCTTTCTGGTATCAACACTATTTTGAGAAACACAAAGGTTCCAGTGGTTTCCTTCAGCCCCGGGCCTGCTCTGCCTGTGTTCTCCCCGTCAGAGCCCTGGCCGGAGCCCGCACGGATATTCTCGCTGTTCGCCGTCACCTGTGGCCTGTGGCCTGTTCCCGCACAGCTGGCTGTGCCCCAGTTCTCCTGGGCAACCTGCTAGGTCTACTCGGGGATAAGACGGGGTGTTTTCTCTTCCCGCAGAGCAGGGCTCTCCACCCTGCGGAGTCTCTGATTTAATGGGTTGGGGAAGGGTCCTTGCATTAGGGGAGTTTGAAAAGCTCCCTGTGATTCAGGGACGAGAACAGGCTGTAAGATAACATGGCACTTAAAAATTAGATGTATTTCTATTTTCTTCAACATTTAAAAAATGATTCTAAAAAATAAGGTCAGACAATAAACAAAACATAGACATTATTTTTAAAATATACACGTAATGATTGCATATATATATATACATATACATATTTATTTATTTATTCCCCACAGCCAATACCTGGTGTTTTTGAGGAGGCCAGTGGGCAAAATGAAGAGATATTTGAGTTCAATTTGCAGTACACCGGACAAAGTGTTCCTGACGTACTATCATTAGGGGCAAAAATAGAATATTGGGGACTGGCTATGGTTATGAGAAATATTAATCATGCTGTCAACTCTGATTGCCTTGTGCTGGTTAAAGAAAGGACATTCTAACCTGGCTGGGAATTGTATGCGCGCCCCCCCCCCCCTCATGCAGTCCATTCTCATTCAATAACTGCCTATTATCATGGAAAGATTAACAACCTAATTGCCCAAACGATGGCGTCCCACCCCAGCCTGCATTGCCTACTCCCCCAAGTAATCTTTGTCCTACTCTATCTAAGCAGCTGGCTTATGGGGGCTGCAGAGCAGATTTTTGTGGGTGACCTGCTGCTCTCCCATGCTGCCCGCAGCATATATAAATGCTCATATATGATCCAACCCTGTAATGACAGGCAGCCTGGACCCCTTGGTTGTCCAGCTTCACTATCACCCACAATATTAATTAGGGCAATGCTAGCTGCTGTAACAGGTGAAACCAAACCTTTGGATATTGTAACAACATAGCCCAGTGCAGAGTTCCCTAGGCCCATGGTCGGCAAACCGTGACTCGCGAGCTATATGCGGCTCTTTGGCCCCTTGAGTGTGGCTCTTCCACAAAATACCAACGGGGGGGCGGGGTGGGACACGCACGTACAGTGCGATTGAAATTTCGTGGCCCATGCGCAGAAGTCGGTATTTTGTGGAAGAGCCACACTCAAGGGGCCAAAGAGCCGCATGTGGCTCGAGAGCCGCAGTTTGCCTACCACTGCCCTAGGCAACAATGTAACAACATAGCCCAGTGAAGAGTTCGCGGGTGGTCTTCCTGGGCGTGGTCCATCCTTCAAGACCCAGGTTTGTGGCTCCAATGTGTCCCGAGATCGGGAACCCCAGGAGAGAGAAGACAGTGAGCAGGACTCTGGGAAGGTTCCCACCCTCTGGGCAGTGCCCGTGTGCTGGCACCCCGTTGGCCAGAGCTCAGTCATGTGGCCACTCCCACCTGCCTGGCAAGAAGCTGGAAGGCTAGGGGACAGCCAGCCCGCCCCTGCCCCCCCCCCCCCCCCCCCAAGGGGATTTTTGGTGAAAGGGGGTCAGAAAAAGCCCCAAAAAAGGGCAGGGAACCCCCCGGGCGGGCGGGCAGAACCCCGGGGCCCCCAAGGCCCCCGAGGTGCGAGGCCTGCAGAGGAGGTGCTCTGTTAAGGGCGTGTGCTCTTTTTCTTCTTTTCTCCACAGATATCGCAAACGGCAGCAGTTCGGGGGGGTACCGCTCGCCTCCCAGAACCAAAGAAGTCATCATCAATGGCCAGACCGTGAAACTGAAATACTGTTTCACCTGCAAGATTTTCCGGCCCCCTCGTGCCTCTCACTGTAGCCTTTGTGATAACTGCGTAGGTGAGTAGAAGCGAACACCGCCTCTGTCCCCAGCTCTGCTTGTGCTGGAGCTCCTGTGGCTGATGGGGTGGCCGGCTGCCTTTGCTAGGAGTGTGTGCGTCTCTGTAAGTCTGTGAAACCGACACTCAGTCATCGTTAATGTTTCACCGTCTGCCTCCTGCCGCTGATCCCGGTCACCGAGCCCAGCGTGACCAAACCCCGTGTTTTCCTCTCTCACACCTGCAGCACCCCGTCCCGTGCAGTGCCCGAGGCCTTCTCCCTGAGCACGCATACCAGGGGGTTCCTTGTTCCCTGGGGCCGCCAGGTCACTTGACATAAGACCACCTCACCCCGAGGCCCCCCCGGTTGCCCAGTGAGCGGCTGCGGGAGTTGCCGGCTGTGCTCTGTGTGGTGCCTCCAGGGGCAGCTGGTGTGGGGAGTTGGAGGCACGTGAAGTGAAGGAGAGAAAAAGGGACAGGGGCAGGGGACTTCCGGGCCTACAGTCAGGATTGTCACTTTTCCCAGAGACCACCGAGACCTCCCGTCTGTCTACTGACTTCCCCCAGGATGGACTAGGGGATGGACAGAGGGAGCCCAGTGGAGCCCAGCGGTCCTCAGCTGCAGGACTCGGCCCTACTGTTAGGCCACCGCCGACCCAGCACAGGATTTCTACAACTGACCTGGCTCCCAAGCCCCTTGGAATTTTTTGTCAAGCACTTTCTGTTAAGGAGATGACAGCAGACCCCGGGCACAGGGAGGGCAGGGAGAAACGGACGAGGGAAGGCCTCATTCCTCAGCCCCACACCTGCCTCTAAGAGACATACCCAAGGACATTCCTGAGCACGTAGGCCCCGAAACCCCGCTCCCTCCTGCAGAAAGGACCGGACGCCTCGGAGCAAACTTGTTCCCTCGGTGACACACGATCGATTGCCAACATTCTCTTTGCGTCTGTCAGAATAGGTAGTCTATTCTCCTTGGGGAAAGTAAAGTGGTATCATGTACTTCCTGCTGTGCAAAGCCGTTTTCCTCTTATTTATCTGAAACGTGCTTTATTCTAACTTGAATCCTCTACGGTTGGTTAGAAAGGCCAAGATTCCCCTATCGGGCCTGGTCTCGGTTTTACTGGCCCACATGAATCACCTGTAGCCTCGCTCCCGGCGGGACAGCGTGGAATTCGGTTCAGTCTGGCCCAGGGGGGAAGTAGCCTGTGGTTAAGAGCCTGGAGTCGGGCACCGCATGGCCTGGACGCAGATACGAGCTTTGTGACGGACACGAGCTACTTCAGCTCTCTGTGCCTCAGTGTTCTCATCTCCAAACGGGGTCCATAGCAGTACCTTCCTCGTGGGATGTTGAGAGAATACGTGATGTAACACACGCAGAGCACTTGGAATAGTGCCTGGTGTGCAGCGAATGCTCTGTGATTGTGAGCACTGTCGCTGTGATTAATGCTGCTCCCGTCATACTTTTGATTGGCTTTCCCTGGACAGTTTCTTGATCTCCCATAGCCATCTGCGGTGGGAGGACCAAAAGCATACCTGGTCCTCCATGTGAGGGCACATCGGGGTTTCTGCAGGGACACTGACAGCCTTTGGTTTCTCATACCCTTCCTGGGGACTCCAGCTCAGGCCCATCTTGGGGACATTTTTAAGCCAACACATCGCAGTGGCTTAAGTATCTTCAGGGGAACAATCTAAGGATTTTCAGGACCCTTTTGGGAGCTGTAATTCTGCTGTTACATATATTATGGGATGGAATGCATGTAAGTTACACTTTTTCACATAAAAATCTTCTGATTTGCACACCTTCCCCTGGAGTCCAAAGACTTTGTCCAGTTGCTACGTATGGTAGGGAGTTAACTTCGAACCCCCTTCTCTTTATCATTTGTGAAATGTTTACTAGACACCTGACTGCTTCTGCTCATTCATTTGTACCAGTTGGTCTCAGTCCTCCGTGTCTTATTTCTAGGCTAGATTCCTAATCATGACACATGATTCCTTTCTTCCCCGTCTCATAGTGTTTTAAAAATCCTTTTGGGTTATTATAAAACACTTTCTAAAAGGTCATATAATTCTCTCATGTGTTCCCTCCATCGCCCACAGGTTTACGTGTTCCTTAAAGAACCCTGATGAATTAGATGTAAAATCCCCTTACAAAATGAAGTGTCGACCCCAGTGAACGGTGCACTTCTCCTCTGGTATAACTGTTTCAGACAGTATCCTCTCTCATAGAAACCACCAGCTGGGAAAATCAGAGTCCCTAGTCTGGAATGGCCAGGAGCCTTCCGCAACCGAAGCGATAAATCCCAGTCACGTGGCAGTCAGCTCTCACAGCCAAGCATCCTGGGCGCCTGTAACCGGGAGAACAGTGAAGGGAAAGGAGAGGAGGGGCAAGGTTTGGGGGTGGCGTCAAGAGGAGGAACACTTGCCCAGCCAGTGTGGCTCAGTGGTTGAGCGTCGACTGTGAACCAGGAGGTCACAGTTCGATTCCCAGTGGGGGCACATACCTGGGTTGCGGACTCCATCCCCAGCTGATCAGTGATTCTCTCTCATCATTGATGTTTCTATCTCTCTCTCCTTCTCCCTTCCTCTCTGAAGTTAATAAAAATAAATATATTTAATAAATAAGTAAAAAGAGGAGGAACACTGGACCAAAAGCCCACTGCCAACAGCTGCCTCTGAGCATCATGTGGTGGTCCTAGGGCTGAAGCTTGCACCCCCACCCCCACCCCCACCCCCGACCGGGGGCCGCACCGTGGAGGAAGGTGGAATGAGTAGCTGCAGTTGGTTGTCAGATGCAGCTGCTCACAGCCCTCCTGGGAAACCACCGCTGCTTCCGACCCATACAGCTCAGGTCTCCCGTTCTCTGAGCTCCGTTCCGGCCTCTGTGGGGACCCATTAGCAGACCAGCGAGGTGGACCTCCTGCCTTCGGGAATAGCGTGGAAAGCAGGTGTCTCGGCTGGGAGGTGTAATGGCAGGGTCGGCCACTAGTTTATTTTTAGGTGGAAAGTTGTTACTGAAGGGATTCTATTCTTTGCAGCCAGGGAGAAACATACGTGATGTGCTGAGAGCTGGGGCTGCCACTGGCTTCCCTTCCCTTCCCTTAGTAACCGCTGGGTTTGGGTTGATCCTTTCTAGGCTCACAAGTAAATGTAGCTTTGCGCTGGGAGCGGAGAGAGGAAAATGCCGTTTCACAGACGGTTTGGAAGATTGAACTCTGGTGCAAATACAGAACCTGTGGGCAGAGCCAGTGATGGGGACACGGCTCTAAGACAGACGCAGGCCTAAGTCCTGGTGCTGGCGTTGAGTCAACTGGCCCCCGGGCAGGTGATCTGACCACCCCGCTGTTCCCACCCCTGCAGAAGGGGTTACCCCGGCGCTGCCTCCGAGGTGCCTCCGAGGTGTCTTTAGGGTTAAGGGAGATAGCGCCCAGGAAGCCCGGCACCCACACCGGGCTCAGGACTGCTCGTCATGAATGCTGCTGCCATGAGTAACAGGACAGACGCTGCCGCACCTCCCAAATGCTGTGGAGCGCGAGGCTTGTCCCCACGGCGGCCGGCGGCCTGGCGGGATTAGGTGATGGTCGCACTGAAGCGGATGCCTCTCTCCCTGGCTTCGTCACCTGTTTCCGCCTCTCTCTCTCATTCTTTCTCTCTCTAGGTCTCTCTCTATGTTGTCATCGCGTTGCTCTGCGCACTCGAAACAGTGTGTTTGGGCTGTTGTCCATCCAGCACAACCAGCAGCCGGGCGGTGGGGCCAGCTCTGCCCTCGCAGCCCCAGGCTCCCTCCATCGTTAAAGCAGAGTCACTGAGGCCAGGGAAGCACGCGTGCACCGTGAGGCCCTCGCAGACTGACTGCGCGCGTCCCGAAATCCCACATGAGTCCCCACCCCTGCCCTGACCAGGGGGCTCTGGGCCAGCGCCCAGCTAACTGGCCAGGCGGAGGCGGCGTGGCCTGGAACTGGGAGGTGGCCTCCGGATTCAGCAGCCTCCTGGCCCCAGAGCCCGCCCTGCCTGGGCCCTGCCTGGGAGGGCCCTCTCTGCACTGCAGGCCACATCCGGGGGAGCTGGGAGGACAGAGACGATGGTGCCGAAGCCTGAGGCCGTGGCAGCCCTGGGAGCTCAGCAGTGCAGACTCTTGGAGAGGGGGTGCTGGTCCCATTTTCTCCCGTCCCCTCTGTTGTTTCCGGTGTGGGGGCACGAAGGACCGCCAGAGGCCCTCTGCGGGGACTTGATGTCCTTTGCTCTTGTTTTTGGAAGAGCTTCACCCTCGTCTTTAAAATCCTTCTGTCCCCTCTCTCACTCCCGCCTCTGTTGCTGCGCTTTCTCTCCTGAACACCTCGCTCCGCGCTCTCCCTCTGCCCCTCAGCACCCGCCCCATCCAGCTGCTTCCTGTGGGATGTGGGCCCCTGAGCTGGGCCTGCAGACATCCTGTGTGTGTGCTCTGCCGGGCCCCGCTGCCCAGGGAGCCCCTTTCTGCGTCGCAGCTGTGCCTGTACTGAGAGGTGTGCATCCGAGAGCCACAGGCAGCTGCCCTCCGGTCTGCGTGCGGGGCAGCACCTGGGGTTGCCTTTTAACTGTTTGGGTGGTGAGAGGGCTGTTCCCTTCCCATAGGAAAGCCCGTCACTCAAAGGGAATGGAGAGACCTGGAACATGTATCCCACCAGAAGCCGAAACAGACAGGGCTGTGCTGTGCACCCTCGTCTCCAGGATCCTGGTTTTCCACTCCCGTTCAATGCGCACCTGTGCGTCAGGCGCTGTGCTCACAGCTGGTGCATCAAAGTAAAAGGCAGTCCCCACCATCATCATTAAAAACAGAACTGGGAGAGCGGAAGGGAGAAAGCATTATATGTGTCATGTTACATGGGTCAGAGAGAGCAATGAGAGTAAAGACTACAGTGAGCAATGCAGTCATCAAAATACATGTACCACATAACACGGCGTCAAGATACAGAGAGTAAAGTGTGTTAGGAAATGCAAGGGTAATTCGGTATAAACATAATGCTAGTGAGAAACAGTAGCCTA